GGAAGAGCCATTTTACCCGGTATTTACAGTACTTTCGTGACGTCAGCCATCTTATATAGGCACTAACTTTTGCGAGGGCTTTCAGCAAAAACTCGAAATTGGGTGGGGAAAAGTTTTTTCTCTGTCTTTAAACCACTTTGCTCATGTCGCACTCCATTGCTAACACCGAGTCTTTAGCTCTTTAGCTGCGGTTGTTGCTTTGCTCATTCTGGACTTGCTTTTGGGGGGGTGGGGGGGGGAGGGGCGGTGTAGGAATGACGGAATGATGACCACATTGTTACGCCGACACCCCGAACAACATCTCCGGAAGAGCCATTTTACTCGGTATTTACAGTACTTCCATGACGTCAGCCATCTTATATAGTCGCCAAGCTTTTTGCTACCCCAAACCCTAACCCTCCAAACCCTAAGCAGACAGCAAGAGGTTTGCACCAACGGGCTTCATAAGTGTTCGAGGCTGCCCGTACGTTATCAGCCCCCCCCCCCCAAAGCAATGCATGCAAAAGGGGTGGTTGGTAGGGGGGGGCCGCCTACCACAACAACAACAACTACAACTACAACAACAACAACAACAACTACTACTACTAATACTACTAATACTACTAATACTACTAATACTACTAATACTACTAATACTGCTACGACGACAACAACAGCAGCAGCACCACCGCCAACAACGACAACATCAACCGCAACAGTCATAGCAAGCAGCAAACAACAAACAACACACAACAAAAGCAACAATAACAACAACAACAACAACAACAACAACAACAACAACAACAACAACAACAACAACAACAACAACAACAACAATTATTGGACGCTGAGCGAGCGGGCTCTGCTCATTGCGGGCGAGCAGAAACTTCGGAAGCGTGCCATCCCCGAGTGTGCCGTGAGCCAGCGCCACCGAGGTGAGCCATAAGCCAGCACCACTCCCTTAGAATCTGACCTGCCGACATTCTTATAGAGGTTACGTGGTCTTCGCCCGGCGGCCTTGTAAAGAAAAAGAAACAGACTGGCGCTTTGCGCGAGGGGACTGCCCATGCGAGAATCGCAGGTACCTCCTTCATCCGTTTCTGAGAACTACGACCGAAGTCAGGCCCCGAGGCCTTGCGTAAAACAAGCCAAAACGAACTGACCTAACAAAACCAACAGAGAAGACCGCGCAACCCCTATAGGATCCTCAGTGAAGGCAAAAGAGGAGCCGATGCTACAAACGTTAAAAGAGAAAGGGCCTAAGTCAAGAAGAGCAGCGCTGCAGACTGTACACAGCAACAACAGCTCTTGGGCACCAGCCTCTAGGGGATAGGCCACAAGAAGTTGACTTCAGTTACAAAGGCGTTGCCCGTTTTTTACGCGAGCGATGCCCGAAACTCCTAACGTGACAGCCCGACTCACAAAGTCGTCGTCATGTAGCCTCCGTCACCCTCAGTGTGAGTCATTGCGTCCAATACTCACGAACTGGCAGCCGGTGGGTCGTACTCAGAAGAGCCGTCTCCCAGAGTTCCCGTCTAGTGGCGTCCCACACTAGGTAACTCCCGACTACCAGCGATGGGCCGTAAGGATAATTCGTCGTCAAGCAAAAACACGTGGGCCGTCACTCCTAGCACTGCCTGACCCCGTCGGTAACAGGACAGTAACGAACACACCTGGGAGGGCCGTAGCCGTAGCCCGACACCCATAGCACAGCAAGCGCGTCCGCTTAACGACTGTACCCAGATGTGACGTGGAGCCGTACCAGGTAGACACCGTGCTGGAACTGAAGACGTTGGCCAACTCTGCTGAACCTGAGTCCCCAGTGTCCCAATCTGCGCCTTGTCTTGTAGACAAGTCTGGCCCGGCGGCCCCCGAGAGGCCTCCCCCACCAGAGAGGATAGCCCCTCTAGGCCCACAAGGGCACCCCATAGCAAGAGGAGTCCCTGAAATGCCCGTCGGGGCCAGCATTGGGAGGATGCTGACGCGTTGTGAGTCACCACGTTGCGCCTAGCCTGTCCTGAGTCTGACTTGCTCCCAGGCGCTGGCGGCTGAACAGAAGTGAAGCGCAGAAAACACTCAACCGTGACGAAGAACTCTCGATCGCACTGGCTTCGTAGCAGCCGGTGGCAGTCCACTGTGCCGTTGAAGGAAAAACTAGTGCCCGAAGAAGACTGCATGAGAATACCAGACGATCCGTGTCCTTCTTGCGGAGGTGTACCAGTTAAAGCGCAAAACCAGAGCGCCAGCAAAACTGCGCAGGAGAGACCGTGAGCTGTACCTGGGTGTCTTGTCGTGTAGCTGGAAAGTCGAAGAGAGGAGCGGAACGAGGCCTCAACTAGAAAGCTTCCTTCAGGATACCCAGGTGCAGAAGATGGCCAACCCATGACTGGGGCCGCCCCTTGAATGGCTTGGCGCGGCAGGTCCTTTTGTAAATGTAAAAGCATCGGCAGGAGAAAAGCACTGAGGCACAGTCGACGCGCCTTCCGCTAGTTTCGCCGGAAAGAGAGAACTCGATCCGACTCCCTTCACTCCGCGGAAAGGTGAGAACCCTACCGCTTACCTCTTGCCAAGGTTGTAGGACCCGGTGGAACACAGCGGCGCGCGGCTCCGGGAATAGCTATGGCTCAATAAGAGGACAGTCCCTTAAGCTTCGCAGAAGGGGGCCGTTGCGAGCCTCTAGCGTTGGTACCCAGAGCCTTGTTAGCAATGCTACACAGCCTGCTGTGATCCATAGCGGCTACAACAACAACCACCACAACCACAACCACAACCACAACCACAACAACAGCAACAGCAACAACAACAACAATCAATCAATAACAACAATCAACAACAACAGCAACAGCAACAAATCGCAACAAACAACAACAAACGGGAACAAACAGCACCCTGGGTTCAAGACGCGTTTGAGTTTTAGGCCCAGCTGGCACAAAACATGTTTTGCAAATAGGCGGTTCTCTCTTTGTGGGCCTGTGAACTACCTAGCGTCCTGGCCATTAGTCGACTCATGTCAAAATCCAGGATCTGGTCCAACGAGCTTTGTCAAGCCTTCCCGGACTGCTGTACATACATGATCTTGTCATTGCTTGTTTAGGTTCCGAGCTTGAAGCTTTGAATTTTCAGGAGCAGTCTTGAAACGAAGCCGACCCAAATCCGGGCATGAGCAATCTCGGGCCAACCATCAAGGCTCACAGTGTGTTCCGGGCAGCTCTAGGCACTGCAAGGCTTTCCTACTGCGGCTGCCGTTGCTGTCGCTTCTACCACTTCTACTGCTAATGCTGCTTCTGTGACGTCGACGACGAAGAGAACGAATACCAGTTGTACTTCTTTGTGGTGATGGTATGCTTGTTGGTGTCTTTGCCTGGTAATTGTTGTGCGGTTCCAAGCGCAAGTCGCAAGGACTGCGAGGGCCAGAAGCAGCGGCAAGAGCTGCAGGCCAGGGCGAGGGAAAAAAGTAAAGAAGTGTCTGTCATGATATCTGCAGTTAAGCCAATCCGATGTTTGCAAGCAGAATTGAAGTCTTGTTGCTTCGCCTATGATCGCGAATGCAGAGTGGACCGGGCACTGCTGATGGCAAACAGAGGCACGCATGCTGCTCGCACGAAGCGCGATGTAGCAGGAAATGAGCCCCCAAATGCAATGTGACCTCGTGTGAGACGGGCCACTGACAAGTTGAAGCGGGGACGAGCACCGAGTGCAAACTTTCTGTGGAGTTGTCAACAACAGCAACACCGGAGGCGAAAGCGACACCACGAAAACCGCGATGTCAGCAAAGATTGCCGGAAACTTACCAAGCCCAAGAAGCCCAGCGCAACCCCAGCAACCCGAACCGCTGGCTGAACCTCAACACAAGGAAGACCACACCGTGTGAGGCGGGCACTATGGCAGCAGTTGTGTAGCATGGCACCAATAGTTGGAAGTTGAGATTCAGGCAAGGAGAAGGCAGGTGAGGTGTCGGGCAACACTTTGGCAACAATTACGGAGTTTCAGAAGCTAGCTCGGCGACACAAACAGCCAAGACAAAATCAGACATGCTGACCATGCCTCGGCCGAAAGTAATCTAATGAGGCCTGCATTTGCCTTAAAGACAGCCGCAAAAACTGTCGCCTAGCAGGTGGCGATCCTGTGGGATATGGGGTCGAGGGAGGTGGCATTCTCGCAGTGGTGCGTTCATACTTGTCAGGTCTCGTATCGTCAATCTGCTTTAGAATCTGCATGTTGCAAAGCAATGTGGCTTGTGCTCAGTTTGCCAAGCTTCGTCAGGCGCAGGACAGGGCTTTGTCGCGTGGTATTTGCAGGTTCGCACGTATGTTCCAAACGTTCTCGAGCTACCAGGAGGCAACCACGGAGTCGATTGAAGCTCTTGGTGCAGAAGTCCGCGCTCTTCGGCCGATAGTCATAGCCGTTGCATGCAGTTCGTGACAGAAGCCGCTAAACGCATGAAAGCTGACAAAGCGAAGTTCGCAATGATACTGTTTGCACCCCAGCCCTTCGTGAGCAGTAAGGCTATGCGGCGGACGCAGCGCTACACGTTCTGGTGTTGTGGAGTCTGAAGCAGAGCAAAGATCTCTTACAGGCACCCGTACCATGAATCCGTTGTGGCTTGCGCGGCAACATGGTGAGCCATTGCCTTGGATTTGACATGAGACTTCCCATCATTGGCTGGCGACCGTGACAGTGACTATGCCCAACACGAGCATCATGCTACCGGCAGAACCGCGCGTTTTGAGAAGGGTTCCCGTAACTGGGCAGGTCTGCTCATTCGTACAAGCTTTTCTGGGGTCTTTGAGGGGACAAGAGATTGCATGTGGCAAGTAACTAGCCCAAAAGGACCAACGCATGTGTTGGATGAATGCGCTGCAGGCTCGAAACCCTTAGCCATGTAGTCAACCCCAAAACACACCATGCACATGAGCCAGGATGGGATGCCAGTCCGACATGACTGTCTTCGCCCAGCATACCAGATGTAAGTTGTGCGATTGGACTTCCATGTAAGAACAGCTCCACTCCTCCTTGACCTGATGGACTCTCTAGTGCAGTCGGGCCTTCGCGGCCATTCGCAGCACATATGGACTTGCGTCCAGACTCTTGTGATCGTATTGCGCTCTGTCAGTGTGAGTGAGCGTCAGAAGTGTGTGTCCTTATTTGTCAAGCTGTTGCTGGATCCTAGCTTTCCAAAACGGAAAGTCCTGGAAAAGCTGAAGATGCTATGGATCGTCGACGCCAATCCCAGACGGACCTATGCAGATTCACTGCAGCAGCTGCGGATTGCGGCAAAGTCCACCACCGAAGCAGATGTGCAGCGCGAGCTGTACAAACTCGTTTCCGTTGGCTGAAGCATGCCTCCAAGAGTCAGTGTGTGTCAAAGAGGGCCGAGCGTTCTTGTTGTGCCTGCAATGACCTGCACGATGTGAACACATACCAATTTGATTCGTGTTTGGCATGCGCGGAGTTTAGGCACCGACCACTTTGCTGCGCTCTGAAAACACGTTTGGTTGCGCAGGTGTTTTCTTGAATCCGTTGAAGGATATGGATAACTGCAGCCTTGCAGCCATTAGGTAAGGCTTGAAAGGAGAAACTCGCAAAGTGATGCAAAGTGCAGTTTAGACTGAGTTTGCGGTTCTTGGAGTGTGTAGGGCTCCTTGACCATTGCAAGTCAGATGACCTTGATGAGTCCGGATGCTTTCGTTTTTTGGGTTTCGACATGGAGCATGCAACAGCAGCGGTTTCTCGAGAGGCTGTGCGAAGCAGTCGTGACTCAAGTCGTGGCGATGTCCTTCGTTTCGGTTGATGGATTTGCGGTGCGCGAAGCATTTGTGCAGAGCCTGCCCGGGTGTTGCAGCCATGTCACATGCATGTGCACTCCGAAGCGGGTGCGAAAATTTTCAATGGTCATTCATGTGTGTTCGCATGTCGTTATCGGCTTGCAGGGTAAGCTTCTACACGAGCCTGCCTTTGGTTGTTGTGCAGAATAACAGCAGCGACGCGTTGTATCCAGCAACATTCCAGTCTTTTCTTCGCCACTAGGGTGTGAATCCTTAGGCCTTGTGCCTTGTACACGTTGGATTGGAACAGAGTGCAGCGTGGCACTGACAAAAAGTTTGTTTGCAAATCACCTCGTCGGGAATAGTGAGCCAGCGAGGCTCCTCCCAGCAGCCATGCGTCGTCGCAAGCAGCAGCTGCGGAACCACTCCAAAATGCTTCAGAGCGGAGAGCATCTGTTGTGCCTTGGTGCAAGGGGGGCATGGGCAGTTCTTGCATCCTCGGGGTCTCCTTGCCCCTCGCTTCTGTACCGGGCTGTTCCATGCATTTGTCGCTGAGGCGCACGAACAGTCGTTCAAGCGATGAGCTCGATGCATCCGATCCAGAGGACAGCTGAATCTAGGTTGGCTTTCTTGGAAACAGTTCTTGTTCTGTTGGAAGGATAGTAGCGAGGCTCATTCAGAGAGGCGTCGCGACTGCACAAAAGGGGCGGCATAGTCTGAGCAACGAGTGCGCTTCCCACACTGGCAAGTACCTGCTTTCAACCCAGATCTCCAAATGCCTTGGATGACTTTCTCGATGTGTTTGAGCCGGGCCCCAAGCTCTCAAATCAGAGCATGCTACCGTGCAGCAGTCGTTGTGCAACTGCAACAGCTGCGCAAGTTCCGTGGCTCAGGCACCTCCACGGTGCATCAGCGAAGCAACCTGTCTGCACATGTTGGTGGATACCAGTTGTATACTGCGCGCTATGCATCCCAACAGTCTCTCAATCACACCGTTGAGGCTCAAGCTTGGTGTCATCGGCTGCAGCGACATGAGCGATGTCTTGGAATTCATAGAAAGGCTGGAGGGCAGGCCCAGCCAGAGTAACCGGATCCTGCTGCAAGGCGCAGCTCTTGCAATTGGCACACGCTTGTTCAGGTTCTACCAGGAAAGACGTCAGTGGGGCCCTGAGCAATCTCGGCCTCTAGCATGTTGTGCGCAGTTTTCGCGTTGAGATCTGGCTTTGTAGGTGCTGCAAGCACCCAAGGCGGCTTGACGTGGAGATGCAGCTACAGGCAACGATCGCAGCCAACTGTGCAATACAGTGCAACCTAACCTATATGACGCTGCACAGCAACAGCCTCCTGTGGGAGTGGCCCGGCTGTGCCCAGCTGTGTAGCTTTTGTGGCTGGCCCCGGAGGGTTGGTTGACCAAATCTGAGGCTTTGCAGCACGAAACAACAGCTGGAGGATTGCGCCAAGCACTGCCATCAGCTCACCAGTTGGCTCATCCAGCCACGCCGTTGGCAGTATCATAGGCAAGACGTGTCCCGGTTGCAGGATATCGTGCCCAGTTAAATGCGGCCGGATGAGAGATCCAGAACAGATAGACAAGTATCGGCACCAGAGAGAGAGAGAGAGAGAGGCTTCTCCTCCTTGGCTGTGTGCAAGCAAGAGAGACAGACGGACAGAGACTACTGCCCGCTTTTTTCTCACGCCTCCCAACAAGATCCGTGCCTCCTCTGCTGAGAGAGAGAGAGCGAGAGAGAGAGAGAGAGACAGAGGAGCGGTTCTAAGATGTCCCCTGTAAACCGCTGCTCTACCTTGATTATTACTGCTGGTTGTGCCTTTTGTCTTTGTTGGTATGAAGGGGGACAAGAAAACTGTAATTCGCAATGCATATTACGTACGACCAATAGGGGAACTTCGCCCTCCTATGCTCCCTTCTCAGGCCCTTTGTGCCCACTTACACTGTGGTTCTGACATGATTCAAGAGGTCGTACGTCATCCAAGCTTGTAGTGTACGACGAAGCATGTCCCTTCAAGTTATCTGCTCTTTTTGCTTTTTTCCGTTGTTTCGATACCCAGGGGGACATGCAGTGCCGTGCAAGTGTGAAGCTGTGCATGTGTCTGTTACAACTGAAGAACCCTGACCGCAACACTTGAATTCTATTCATATCTCTTATCAGGGGGACTCGTTGTCACTTTCACGCCCTCTCCAAAAGCCCCATAACACATGGGGGGCCCATGCGGCCGGGGGGCCTCGCACGCCTCCCACGCCCAGCAGAAGAAGAAGACAGAGAGAGAGAGAGAGAGAGAGAAAAAGAGAGAGAGAGAGAGAGAGAGAACACCTGTGCGCGACGCCGCGGGGCTTCCTTCTTGTTGGTCCAGTTCTTTTGTCCGAGTTGAAGAGGAGAGAGAGAGAGAGAGAGAGAGAGAGAGAGAGAGAGAGAGAGAGAGAGAGAAAGAGAGAGCTAGTGGCTCTCTCAGTATTCATTTCGGACTTGACACGGAATTGGCACGCAACCCTGAACCTCAAGTCCACCCAAAGATATAAAGAAGGAGCTGTTGCACGGCGAACCGGCCTCAATGCTCGAATGTCAGAAACAAAGCTCCATGCCTTGGACGTTTATTAATCAAATTTCTGCGAGTCCGTATTCAGTCAATGATGCCATCGCATGTCAGGTGTTGAGCTTACGGCAGGTGCAGGCGAATAGGCAATATGTAATTTGCTGCAGTTATCTGGCTTGCCGAAAAGGGGCAGTGTGCAAGTCACGGGAACTCCATTTGCTGCAGTGCAGCCATCTTGTTTGAAGATAGGAAGGTGCTTGAATTCGTTTGCGCTAGCCTCGCTGTGCAACCGACCGTTCTTGTCCTGCCTTGCCGCACGGACTGTATAGGTTGCATGTCAACATGCACACTTGATCACTGGTGTTTTGAGCCACGAAGGGTCGGCGAAGCTGAAGCGCTTGCCAAGGTCGGAAGAACAGCCTAGCACGGAGCTTTCCAATCCTGAGTACGACAGCACCAGCTGCGGCAGCCCCGACAGCGACGACAGCACCAGCTGCGGCAGCCCTGACAGCAAGGAGAGCTCCAACTCCGGCAGCGCCAGCCCTGGCCGCACAGTCGGTAGCGAGAGCTCCAGCTGCGGCAGCACCGACGGCAACAAGAGTGGTGCTAGGTGCACCGGCAGCGAGAGCGCCAGCTGCAACTGTGACGACTGCACCGACGGTGGTGGCATCACTTGCGTGCGCCCCGAGCACTGCCCGGATTTCAATGCAGACACCCGAGATGGAGAATGGGTTCTTATCCTGAGGCAGGTTCCGAGGGCTTCTTTCCAGGGTTCTCAGAAAAGAGGAAACGTTCATGTCAGCTGTCCTCCCAGTATGCCCATGACGAAGAGCATCAGCTTGGTGAGGAGGTGCTTCCAGATCGAGCGAGTTTGGTAGCCTTGAGAAGAGACATACAAGCAACTGCAATGTCTTGACTTGCATGTGTAAGCTGACGCATAACTGTCCAATGGGTCCAATTTTGGTTTGGTTTGCGAAGGGCTACTCCATGCCTTGTGAGCTATGCGGGAGTGACTGCTCATGCTCAGCCTTGTCTTGACATCCGGGGCTTCTTTGTGTTGGCTGTTTGACGAGGTCAGTCTCAATCTCACGACTACAGACGAGCCGGAGATCCCAAGCGAACCATCTCGGGTGCTTGCGTTGCCGAGAAGCATCGAGATCAGCTCTGACGACCAGTCTCAGCGACCTGCCTTGACATGGTACATAGCACCTGTAGTTGCCGTCGTCGCTCATCATGCAGGCAGTGCCCAGCAAGGTCCACAAGATCACGAGATTCGTCGCAGGATTGCGGCCCACGAGATGATCGGGTTGACGCATCTTGCCAGACGGACTTTGAGGACTGCGTGGCTCCTTGCCACAAGCGTTCCCTAACACACATGCAAGGAAGTGATGCTTCAAATGAATCCGGGCAAGATCAGCCCAGGTCTGCTGTTCGTTGCCGGAGACCTCAGCGACGGAAGCTGGGTGCTTAATGGCAGCTCAGCAGCTGCATGCAGCTGTGTGAGCTGTTTTGCTACGATGGCTGCCAAGAGATGTTTGAACAAGCAACTCCAAATCTGCTGCTCAAGCCCTTCTCCCGACGCACTGCCACATTCGAGTTCTGTGCGTGCATTCCGAGGTTAGTGGTGGGGAGTTTGCTCCCTACGATCTCCTTTTGCACCTCGGTCTATGCAATGGCCTGCTGGAACTGCTTTTCTTTTGTTTGTAGGGGATTCCCGCAGATCCTCTGCACCGTCTCTGACGAAAACCCTAAGGCCAGACATGTTGCCGTACCTTAGCGAAGCTTGGTTGCGAAGTGGATGCGGCAGCGATTGTTGTGTAGCGCACGCGTGCGAGTAGGAACAAGCGTCAGCGATCGACCGCAGTCTGCCGGCTCGATCGCTTCAGCTTTTCAGTTCCCCTCGTCCTTTCGCCTCGCCGTGTTCTGGTCATGTCGACTGGTTCCGCAGCCGCCTCCGCCGCCGCCGCCGCCCGGGCGGCCAATGCGGCCACTGAGGCTGAGGCTGTGGGCGCCCAGTCGGG